GCAAAATCTTAATATTCATTACCCAAATCTATATACAATGAACAAATGTTGTAAATGCCCTCTAATCAAAGATACTATTAAAAAACTAATGCAAATATGGATCAAACAAGGCTATGCATTAGCTAGATTAACAACAAAAGTGTAAAAGCAATCAGCAGCTCCTAGATTTAAAAAAATTTAGAAAAACAATCTAGCAAGCTTAGTAATAGCCAAGGCTAGCAAGCTTAACATGTCAATCAGATTTGAAAACAGATCATGACATATACATAGAGTAGTGCCAACTATTTGTGAAGTCCAATTTTGACAAAGCTCACATGAATATTAGAAAATACAATCTCTTTTATATAAATCAACTTATTAATAGAAGTGGAATTAAAATAATTACATAGAAACAGTTTCGATCATTAAGAGCCAAGAATCAAAAAGAGCCAAAGGCAATATGGTTCAAAGAGATCAAAGAGAAATTAATAGATAGTCAGCATACAAGAGAACTTGTAAATACCTTTCAGAGTCCTGAAAAAAATGACCTGGCAATGCAGATATATACAAAAAGGCTATCAGTTGATAAGAAAAAATGTAGGTTTTAGTAAACAAAAAGAATGAAAATACAATAGTTGGGAAGATTGTAAAAAAAAAAATCATGTTTACTCATAAAACATTAGAAAGTAAGCAAGAAAAAGTAAAAGAATAGCTTGGTATTAACAGAATGTAAAAGGTGTAACTTAAGTTGGTCGACTAATTCCAAAACATGTCAATAGTGAATAAGCAGTACCTGAGTGCTTGGAATCTTATCTGCTATTGAACAAGACCAAGAAAAGAAAAACCTAGTGCTGCAAAATGAGATAAAAGGTGTTAGATTTCCAAATAGCGAAATGGCAGAGAATGCTTATAAAGCATCAATATGTAAAAAGATTTAGATATATGAATATGAAGCCAGTTTGATTAAACAGCAAAAATTTGATGAGGAGCTCGAGTCTTTTTTACTTAAGAAGCTCAAGAAAAATCAAAAAGAGAGTAGAAATTATTACAGGTTTTATACAGATAGGTCAATAATTAAAAATAAAAAGGTTTGCAGAATGAGAGCAGGGTGGGTCCAAATAGATAAAAATGAAAGAGCAGTATTAATGGAGGGTAAAATTAGAATAGACAGGTGGCTATCCTCAACTAAGGCTAAGTTGGCTACAGTTTGGATGGTAGTATTAACAGTAGATAGTAATAGCAGATTGGTCATTTGTCTAGATAGTTCTGCAGCAATTGCAAGTATAAAAAAGTATATAAATTTTAAAAATATAAGAAGTTGAAGTAGAGAAAAAAACTTTATATTAGTTTCAAAGATCAAAAGTATGTGCAAATCCAAAAATATTAAGTTAGAATTGTTAAAGTCAAAGCATATAGTGGGGTTAAGTGGAATGAAAGAGCTGATAAGCTAGCTAAAGAAAGTGCAACATATAGCAGTATTGCAGATTTGAAGCTAGAGGTTAATAAGTACTTCTCTTATGTGCTTTTTTGAAAAAACATACCTGTTAAAATGCTAATATGAAATTCTGCAAAATCATCTTAGGAATAGCAATAAGAGCAGAGTGATAATGTTCCAATGTGGCAGAGAGTTCCTCGAAGCAACCCATAGAAGCTGAAGAGCATTGTGAAAGGAGAACAAAAGATTGACAAGTACCAAGTGTAAGTTACTTAAAGCTAGTAGCCATATTATATTTAGAATTAAATATATAAGCGACAATTTGCTAGTATTAACAATACTAAAAAGAAGAAAACCTGACTTGTATAAGGCAGATACTTGTATAGAGTGTAGAAAAGCAAATGAGACAACTGGTTATTTGATAGTATGTGAAGGATATACTGGTTTTTAGAACAATACAGAAGAAGTTGCTAGTTAGTATATATAGAACTAACTCAACAAAACTGAGAGAAAAGAGGTCTCTCAAAAAAGATTAAAACTTGGTCTGAAAGGCTTGACTAAAGCATTGCTATATAGCTAGAGAGAAAGTTATATAAAAGGTCTTATACTTGATAATACTAAAAAAAGTTTATCAAGTTTATAATGATCATGAAAAACTGCCACTCAAAGCTTAAAAATATATAAACAGATTATCAAAGAAAGTTTTTACGAAGAAATTTGGCAAAGAAGATGCATCAGAGTAAATGAATAGAAAAAAGAAAACAGAATATACAAACATGACAAAATCAAGACCAAGAAAAAGACTACAACAAATAAGCAAACTTCAAAGTTAGCCAAAAAGAGAAGAATGAAAATAGTAAATTATAAAAAGAAAAAGATTAGGGAAAACAAAAAGTGTAAGATTGTACAGTTATTTGAAAGAGGTGTAGATGAAGTAGTACAGAGTAAGAATGGCTCATTCTGGTTCAGTACTTGACAGAGCTAACAACGTCTACTAACTCATATGTAAGTTAGTATGACAAGTCGTATCTTGGCACAGTATATATAGCCGGGTGATGCCAGGCTTGCAATTTCAAAAAGTTTACTGGAGATAGCCTTATATTTCACATTGTAAAATTTTGTATTTAAGCTCTGACAAGACTATCAAAGAAATAAAAAAATATATATATATATTTTTTAATAATATCTTACTATTTATTAGGCTAATTTTAGAGCTGTTAAAATGTTTATTGAAGTTAATTCTTAAATTAACTTAGTATAAAGTTTTTAAAATAACTTTTAAGTTAAAATTCAATTATTATATTAATTAATTAAAATATATAAAAATATAAAAAAATAATAGTTTTTTATATATATTATTACATAATATTAGTTTTTATAGATATTATTATATAATAATAGTTTTTATATAAAGCTTTTAAAGATATTATTATCTAACAATATATAGTTATTGAATATATAACAAAATTCTATAGTATATATACTCTATAATCGGCATAATGTGACAAAGGTGGCCAAGTTTAGAGGTTCTGAATATTTTTAAATAAAAATTCGATAAATATAAAATATGAGCATACAGGTTTTTAAAATTTCTGAAATATTTTTTGAGTATACAATACAAATATGAAATTAATTATAACAGTACCAATATGCAACAATTAACTACAATATAAATATGAGATCAATTAATCAATTGTAACAATTAATCTTTTTGTGTTTATTAATTTGATATATCAATTATGTGATGATGTAACAATTACCTTTTTGTAGATATTGATTATTTATACAATGATATTATAGTTAGAAGTATAAATATATATATAAATATACTGATAATAGTAGCAATAAGTTATTTTAAACTAGAAAATTTTATTTTTTTTTTATAATACATACTGATTATGCAAAAATGATATTATAGTCAAAAGCATCAGAAATAAATAAATATACTAGTAATACAGTAATAGCATTCACTTTAAGGAACTATGAAATTAGTATTTAATTGACAAAGTTAAGGTTTAAGCTACAAAGTTATAGGTATAGTTAAGGTGTAACAGAGTGAACTAATGAATAATGAAGAATTTAACCTATATATAAAGCAAACACTTACATTTCTTTAAATTTATTACAAAAAAATAAATAAAAATAAAAATAAAAAATTAAAAGGATGTGATAACTTAGTGAAGTAGTAGAGTTGTCATATCTCAGATAGCAGGTCTAGAGTTTGAATTCCACAAACAATATTTTTGAAAAATAGTCTATACTATAGTAATGGTTATTTGTTGATCAGTTGGGTCCCAGAATCTGTAATCTTGGTAACACCATGTTCACATGGAGCTTTAGCATGTAAAAGACCAAGAAACTGTAATGATCAAAACCTGTTTGGAAAGTTCCGAGTTAAAAAGTAATAGAGATCTTTGATAGTGCTACAGAAAAACTAAATTTAGAACTGGAGACTAAAACTGGAGAACTAAGCAATCTAGTTTTTAAATAGGAGAACATACTAGCTACTGTTGGCTCACTATCAGAGAAAAAGAACTTGTACTCTAGAAGTATGTACTAAGGAGAGAGAAACTGTGAGACATCTAGAGGCTGATAGACTAATCCTTCTGAGTTGCTAGCTAAAAGTAAAGAAAGAACTAATAAGAAATCTGAAAAAGAAGGAAGTTAGAATGTAGATACCAGAGTTATTGTAAATCTTACAAGGGCAGGGGGTACATAATAGGAACTAATTAGGAAGATTATAGCTTGAGATATGGATTGGGTTGCAGCAGTATCTAAAAAGATAGCTTGAGATTTAAACCTGGTGATGGCAGCATAACAGATACTAATTAGTAAAAGTTACTAAACATGCAGATATGAATATATGTATAAAACATGAACTACTCTGTTAGGTTTATTACAAGAATAAATGCTTTTTGAAAAACTAGGTTAACTAGTGGCTAAAGTCTTAGGTTTTTTAATAGCAAATTATTTTGAAAGGATATATTAGAAAAAACATGGTGCAGAGATTGAAGCCAGAAAGTTTAAATAGATAGCTTTCTAGTAGACTATAGATATAGTAGCTAGTATAGAACCTTAAAGTAGACTATTTAAATTAGATAACCAAAAGTTGTATATGTGGCTAGTATAATATTACTATAATATATTATATATAGTTTTCAGATTAGCAAAATCTGATAGTACTAATAAAGTGCTAAAGATCTAATGATCATTTTGAATATTAAAAAAAAAAATTAAAAGAAAAAAAAAAAAAATTTAAAAAAAGATTTAATAATCAATAAGGCCATACAAATTTAATTACTTGGTTTTTATAATATGAAGTTTTAAAAATAGACCCGGCCAGCCAGCTTTTTTTTTTAAACTTCATATATAAAATTTTATAAAATTTATATAAAAAATTTTTTTAAAACCCACCCAGTTATTAAAACATATAAAAATTTTTTTTTAAAGTTTTCAAATTTTGACCCGGCCGGGTTATGAAAACCAATTAATTAATTTTGCATGGCCTAATTAATACCAATTTAATTTAATCCTGGTTATAAAATTTTAATTGAATTTGAACTCATTTTATAGCATTACTACTATTATGCGTCTAAACAAAAAAAGCAGTAATTAAAGCTTTTAGGACCAAGAAGTATGTGAAAAAATTATGCGAACAAACAGATAATATTGATTTGATTTGGTCAGATCAGGACATTGATGAGAGAGTATCTGATTACTTTATTGTTCTATTAAAATATAATAAAAACAAAAATATCTGGAAATCTTCAAGTAGAAATAGGTCTTCACCTTATATAGAAGGTTTTACAAGAACTTAAAGACACAAAAAAGCAGAAGGCTACACAATATACTCAACCTATTTTTATCTACTTTGCTCCACCTTAACATGTGAATTATTAATAAAATTATATGTATTAACAGAAATAGAATCAATAGAAATAGAATTAATAGAGGTGGAATCAATAGATATAGAATTGGTAAAGATGGAATCAGTAAAGGTAGAATCAGTAGAATTACTAGAAGTAAAATTAATAGTAGTTGTATTGTCAAGTGGATACGCACTAGACAGTCTCCTAGTGCTAATTTAGCTCAAATCGGGGCACTTTGGGTTTGCTAGCAAACTCACAAGACTTGGCAACACCTCCTTCAATTCCGTAGCAACACCTTAACTTTATGAAACACATACACAACCACTTGAGGAACCACAGGTTTGTATTTTATTTAACTAAGTGATTTCTTATTATTGGGAAAGAGAGAACTGGATTCGTTTACGAATCCTTTATTTTATTTATATCAATTCTCTGACTTCAAATTGGTTTTATCAAACTATACATCAATGACTACATATTTAATGCAAGATTGCGCACAAATAACAATAGACTACATCTATAATATACATATTACAAATAAACTATCTATACATAAAGTCATTAGTTTATCCAATTAGGTCTATTACCCTAATTATCATAGGCACCATGTGCCCATGTGATATTACGATCAAAATCTAAATCTTGACAACTGAACGTAACAGAAGCTAGACCCCTCATTATCATCATCCTTGAAGTCACTATCTTGCAAATTTATCTATTTTGGCCTTTGCTTCAATCTTTTTACCTGGTTTCTAGTAAAAGGATCTGCTAATGCACTTCCATCTATTTCATTCAAATACAGATGACCCTTTTCTCTGATTCTTCATACAATGAATGGACCAATCTATCAATAATTCAGTTTCCGGGTTGAATTGTTAAGTGTTGAATCATAAACAAGTACAAAATCACCAACTTCGATCTTTTCTTTATTTGCATTCGCATGATAATCATGAAATTTCTTCTATTACTCCCGAAGTTCATCCTGATCCACCTTTGCTTCTTTTAATTCATACACTAATCCTTTTATTTGTTGTGTTCTAAAAGCCAATAGATCGTCAGTAGTCCAAGTTTTCTTGATCATAAAAACTTGATAACTTTCAAGAGTTAATTCAATCAAGTTATTGCATCACAACTATATACTGGGTTGGAATATCTTGAAAGACCATCAGTGTGTTCATGTTTTTTACTAGATCTGTACTGTACATTAAAATCAAATGCTTGTAAAGCAATTACCCATCGCATTAAATATCCTTTTAACTGGGTTTTATTGAATAGCCATTCCAAAGCTTGATAGTCAACCCATACATCAAATGTTGTACCTGCCACATATCGCTTATACATGTTGCAGCCAAAGACTATGTCCAAGCATTCTCTTTCAGTTATCATATAGTTCAACTCATGCGAGTTTAATTTTTGTGATTCAAATGTTACAGGGCGAAGCATTCTCAGATCATCTTTCTGTTCAAGAACTACACCTAATGCAAAATCACATGTATCGGTACTCATTTGATAAGGGTGACTTCCATTTTTGGCATCTTGCCAATTTGGTCCTTTTAACATTATATCATCTACTATTTTTTGTTTTAACCATTGAAATGCTTCAGCTTGTTCTTTATTTGATTTGAATCCAATATCATTTTTGGTTAATTCAGTAAGCAGTTTAGCAATTGCGCTAAAATTCTTTACAAACTGACGGTAGTAGTTCACAGTGCCTAAGAAAGCACGAACTTCATGAATGTTTCTTGGGGTTTTCCATTCACTTATTATACTTTTTCAGCTTGGATCAGGTTTTATACTCTGTTTACTGACAATAAATCTATACATGTTTAGTTCTTTATATAGCAAATGGCACTTTTTTGCCACGAAGGTATGACCGGTATTGCTGAATATTTTTGCAAGTTTGACAAACATGTCAACATGCTCCTCTATTGTTTTGCAGGTCCAAAGCCCAATATCATCCTGATATGCAGCAGCAATACTTCTCCATACTTCATCTTGAAGTAAAATATCTATTAAACACTGAAATGTTTCACTAGTGTTTTTGAGCCCCATACACATAACGGTATAATGTAATACACATAGCGGAGTAGCAACAGCTACTTTGTCTTTATCTTCATCACAGATTTTTATCTGCCAATAGCCTTTATAGGAATCTACACTTGAATACTAGTCGTGTCCAACAGCTTTTTCCAAAATATCACATATAATTGGCAAAGGATATCCATCTTTGATAATGTACTTGTTTAAGGGTCTCATATCACCAACTACCCTTAGTTTGTCAGTACCAGTTTCCTTTTTCTTAACCAGAAAACAATAAAAAGCATACTGGCCCATTCCTTTTTCCAAAAGACCATATTTTAACATATTCTTAATTTGATTTTCAAACATTTGAACATGTTCCAGATTGTTGATTCTTACTGAATGTACACACATGGGTGGTATTTCTTTTCCTTCAGTTCTTATTTCATACTGGATTAGATCCATTTTCCTGATTTCTGACATGTCAAATGCAAATATGTTAGGAATTTCCTTCATTAATTGTTCTTGCACCCATTGTTTTTCTTCTGTAGAAATACAATCTCCAAAGTTCAGTTCATTACAATTGTCCTTTGTTAATCTTAATACAACTATCAGATCTGTCCCTTTTATTGTTCTGTTCTTTTGTTCATGTGTGTTTGACCAATAAATTACCTGCCCAACAAAGTTCTTTTCTTCCAAGTCATGTAAATCAATAGGTTCTATTTCTTTTATACCCAGTTGATTCAAGTTATTAGCTTTTTGTACAATGCTTCTCCATTCTTTATTATTATTATATAGTATGTTTTTATCTATCTCCACTCTTTGCATAGTCATTATGTCCTCTGTGTCAGTTTCATTATCATAATTATCATTCTCTTTTGACAGGTTCACCCAAGCCTTAGGAATGATTGATGCCACAAATGAAGCTTTTTTAAAGTCTGACTTTATAGTACATCATAATTTATTATTTTTCCATTTTAAGTTACATTTCATTGCAATAAGCCAGGGCATGCCCAGTAAGACTTCAAAGCTTGTGGCTTTCATTATATAGAACCCTTGTAATACTCCAACGCCTTCTACTATTACTTCGACATTAGGAATATATTCCACAAATCCACTCAAATAGTCATCAGCCATTCGGCCTTTGCTAGTTATAGATTTTCAAGTCAATCTCTTTCATTTAGCAAATGATTCATGCATAAGATTCAGCTATGAACCAGGGTCAATAGAAGTTTCACCCACTTCACCATTAATTTTTGCTATTCTAATAGAGACGTTTCCTATTTTTAGGTTAAGTTCTGTTTGCATTCTCCGTACAATTTAAATTTTTGTATTTACTGACAATATGTTACTTTCTTTTTTCTTTCTAGTCAATCCTTTAAGCACTTCAGTTCTGGCCTTTGGAGACTATTTAAACAGTTGACCAAGTGTAATTGGAAGTTCAAGCAATGCAATTTGCTTCAGAATGTCCAATTCTTGCGTTAATTCTGATATAGGGATATATATTATTGATCCCTTTTTGTATTGTAAGTTTCTTTGGGTGTTTCAATGTAAGTACTTTTCGGTGCCCATGAAGATATTTTGTGTTCGTCCTCTACTTGACTTCATTCCTTACATCAAACAATGATTCACCATCTTTGGCTTTTATCATCAGGTATTCATCACTTTTGCCTTTTACTATATCATTAATCTCAAAATAATGCATATTCATACCCTTATTTCAAGGTTACTAGCTTCATTATTCATTGTCTCATTTCTTTGATTGTGGATTGTTGATGCAGAGTTCTGATAGGACAATTCTGAGCAATGTGCCCTTCTTGACCACATTTATAGCATTTTCGAAGTCTATTTACTTGATTCTGGTTATTTATGTTTTGATCTTGTGTTGCATTATTCATCCTTTGATTACATCGTGCATTAGGTAGTTTATTCTCTTTAAGGCTTATAATGGCTTTTGTTAACTTTTTGATTCTTGATTCCATTTTGCTCATTTGGTTATCTTGGTCTGTATTCTGATCAACATGGCAGATTTTATGGCATTAAAAGCTGTTGTAAGATCATCTATATCCAATTTTGTTACATTAGATTCATTAGTTGTATTCTTAAAAGGTTCGTATTCATTGTCTTTATTATATTTTTCTACCTTCAAAGCCCAATTTTTGGCATAATTATATGTTTCAGAACATTGTAATTCCACTTTTTCTCTAAAAAGTTTTCTTAATCTTTGTATGTACTATTGCCGTTTCTAATTTTTTCTTATTTCAGTCTCAACTAACTTTGTACAAGCATCAAACTGATTGGTGTAAGCTTTATTGTATCATTAAACTTTGCTTAATACTCCTTAATCGTTCTATTTTTTCTTCTTTATCACAAGATGTTTGAGCCCTACTTATGATTGTGGCTTTCAGGTATGTCTATATTGTCTGGGCTTTAATTTGTTCACAAATCCAGGGTTTCAGGTCTTCGGATACATAGAGTCTAACTACTTGTTATTTTTTTATCATCATTTCAATCCTTTGATGCACAATATGCTTCGTAATCCTCAAGAAACTCTTCCACATCTTCATCATTATGGCCATAATAAATAGGTTTTGTTGAGTCAGAGCCCCCCATTCTTTGTTGCCAGATAAGTCTTGCTTTATTATGTACATTGAATGTGGTATTAAAAATTTTGCTCTTTTTTTTTTAATTTTTTTTATTTTTTTTTTTTTTATTTTGCACAAACAGAGTTCAGCCTGTGCTGGTTGTTGAAAATTTCTTGCGAGAGGCCTTTATTTGTACCCAGGTCCTTTCTTGTCAAGTGGGTACGCACTGGACAGTCTCCTAGTGCTAGTTTAGCTCAGATCAGGGCACTTTGGGTTCACTAGCAAACTCACAAGACTTGGCGACACCTTCTTCGATTCTATAGCAACACTTTAACTTTATGAAACACACACATGCCCACTTGAGGAACTACTTGTTTGTATTTTATTTAACTAAGTGATTTCTAATTATTGGAAAAGAGAGAACTAAATTTGCTTACAAATCCTTTATTCTATTTATATCAATTCTCTAACTTCAAATTGGTATTATCAAACCATACATTGATGACTACATATTAATGCAAAATTGTGCACAAATAACAATAGACTATATCTATGATATATATATTACAAATAAACTATTTATGCATGAAGTCATTGGTCTATCTGATTAGTGTCTATTACCCTGATCATCATGGGCACCACATGCCCACGTGATATTACAACTGAAATCCAAATCTTGACAACTAAACATTCTCTGAATGTAGTATACAGAGGTTTGACCACCATCATAATATGTATTAAAAAAAATATATATTGAAGAAAAAACAAAAATGCAGTTAACAATTGAGAAGTTAGATAGGATGTTAAAAAAAGATAACAAAATAGATAAAGATATAAGGGTTCATTTGCAAATATTATTTCAATATATATGGCTAAAATACCAGAGTTAGATTAGAATAAGTACAAATACAATAATTGCTAATTTATTAGAATAGGAAGACTATCAAGTTTGATATATTGGTGCATGGGCTCAAAATTGGATCAAATGACAAAAATTTCTAAAAAAGAACCATAATAAATTTATAAAAGCATTGAGACTTTTGATGAAAAAATATTTATAAAAGTATATATTTTTTTTTATAGCATTTTAATTTGTAATTTATAATTCATAATAGTTACACTTTAAACAGATAATGTCATATTTAAGAAGTTGTATATTTAGTATAAATCTAAAAATTTTAAAAAACTATATTAAGAATAAAGTATTTCTATCTTTAAGTATTAAAACAAAAACAACTATATGTAAGAAAACAGCATAGAAATAGCTTAAAAAACTGGAATAGCAATGCAAAAAATAGAAAATATATATATATGTAGACAGTATTATATATTTTGGCTGTTTATAGCTTCTATATTCAAAATTGTTCAAGTGTTCAGGATTGTCCAAAGCTTGTCTAGGCTTTAATAATTAATAAATCTATCTAAAAAAATATATAATTATATATTTTTTAGGTGCTAAATTTATTTTAATTAAAATTAAAATAGGTTATCTTAATAAAATTTTAAGTAATTTTACTTTATTTAATTATCCAATCTTGTCCAAAGTATTATCTAAAGCTGTTCTATAACAACACTGTATTTAGATAAAAAAGAATAAGATAATGTAGTACAATATAGACAAATAGTTTTTTTTGCCAATGATAAATAAGTTGGAACCTGTTCCTCTTAAATATAATGACAAAGAACTTACTATACAAATTGAGAAGAATATTTTTCTAAAGAAAAGCAATATTGTGTAATAACACATAATAAGACAATATTATCTGCAAATAATAATGAAAAACAAGATGGGGTCTAAAGGTTATATATTAGAGATTGAAACTTGTGATTTTTTTTTTATTTGCAAATACTTTACATCATTCTAATTATTAATAGACCAGGAGTATTTATGCTAGTAAATATTTGTGTAAACTATTTGGTCAGGTTTATTTAACTAAAGAACAACATGTGACTCATCTTAAAATTACAAACCATTACATTACAGAGCTGTTAGAAATTGGCATAAACTACAAAGATTATTAGAAAGTTGAATTGCTAGCCAAACAACTTGAATAAACAATTAATATTTTAGAAATTGCACTTTCAGATACAATATTTGTCTTTGGATTCAATAATAGCACTATTCATAGAGTTTTTGCTAAGGATACACTAATAGCAAGAAGGATAAATATTGGCTATGATAATAAATAACCAAAAATATGCACTGGCCGATTTTTTAATAGTATATCCTAAGAGATAGTTTTTTATTAAATTATTAAGACAACAAAAAAAAAGGACAACCAAAAGGAATTAAAGAAACAATAATTAAAAAAAAGATATAAAATGAACAATTAAAAGGCCTATATGTTAAATGTTTAAAAGACAAAAAAAATTTATATTGCAATATAAAAAACTAGATAGGTAGCTAAACTTTATAGAACAGAAAAGTATTCTTAAGAAAATTGTTCTTGAGTATAAGCATAAAATTTTTTTTATCTCAAGTTTTATTCAGAATTAAACTATATCGAATATTATTAGAGAGCAGTAAAAAAATATGCAAAAAGCTACTATAATTATATTTTTTAAGAATTAAGAAAAATAGTACTAGAGGCTCTTGATTCTGTTAATATTATAATGATTAGAAAATTTGCAATTAAGTTGTGAAGATATATGAATGCATATAAAAAAAGATTAATACTCTTTGCCTCTGAAATTGCTATAAAAAAATAAAAATCAAAATAAAAGAATTCTTGAAAATATTGAATTGTAATACTGCATAATAAATAATAAATAATAAATTGCAGTTATAATATATATTGTAAAACTATAAATTCAATTAATTTAATTATCATTATTAATTAGTAATTATGATAAACTAATAAATTAAGATTATTTTATATAATTATATAAAAAAATAATACAAATTGATTATAGCAATTATTTATTTACCCTAATTTAGAGTTTGTTTATGATATTGTCTAGTATCTTATAATGAAAATAATAGATAATTGGTTTAACTGTAGAAGTAGCAAAAAATAAAATAAGATTGAGATTTAAATAGACTGAACTAACAAAATGACTTGAGTTCTTTTGATAATGATTGTATAATTATTAAATAATAAAGTTATTTAATTATTATGCAATTATTATCAAAAGAACTTGAGTTATTCTGCTAGCATAATTATAGTAAGGTACCAGATAATATATAGTTATTAAATATGAAGCAGCCAATAAATAGCTTTATTTTGGAAGTTATCTAAATTATTATATTCTATATGAAATTTAAAATCCAAAGATTTTTACTATTATTATGAAAATCATAGTATTAAAGCTTCTATAAGGATATTTAGAATTAGAGTAGCTATTAATATAAATTAGCAGATAATCTGTCTAATTTCTATTAACAGCAGCTTATTTATTTAAAATTACACTATATTTAAATTAGTTTTTCTGAAAATGTCTTGCTTAATTAAAATTTATTAATAAATATTGTATATAATAAGATTGGATTAAAATGAATACAGATTTTTATTTAATTCTCTGAATCTATTTATACTTATTTAATCTAAACTCTACTCTAAAATTAATCTCTAACCTTAATTACTAATCTAAAAAGTATCTAAAAATTTTATTTTCAGTGTCTTGTTAATATTTTTTATTTATATATATTTTATTTTAATTTGACATAATAAATTACTTATTATTTATTTGCACCTGTGAATTATTTTTTAACTTACTCACTTTTTTTTTATCTACATATATATATACCTGCATTTAATTTAAGTAATCTAGTAATATTTTTTTTTATTTTTTTTTTTTTTTTTTTTTTTTTTTTTTTTCTGTTATTTTTTTTGTTTTTGGCTTTTTTTTTGTTTAT